CTCCATGCTGAGATTATAAGAGAAAGAACGGATTGAATATTGACGCTGTCCCTGGGCGAAGAGGAGGCAAAATACGCGCTAGGCTCAGTTGAGCGATTAATTTCCATCATCACTAGCGCGGGGGGAAAATCTCACGGGGGGGCAAAATCTCAAAAGCGGGGGGGAAAATCTCACCAGCCGAATTTTAATTTAAATAGCAATGTCAGAATGGTGGGGAGTGCGCAGCTTATGGGTTGCGCAGAATGACGGGGGTTGAACTTAATGCACCCGCAACTAGGGCTTCAAGACGCCAATCCTTGTAATTTGAAGCGATGAAACATGAACGGTCATTCATCGTATCGCGCCGATGAACATCGAACATTGGATAATATTAAGCGTCTCTGCATCAAATCAACATCCTGGAATATGCCTTTCTTTGCATGCGTGACTCCGGTCTGGATTCCACATTGCGCTCTTCCATCGTTGCGTCCCGTTGTGAAATGCCGATGATGACCGTTCGCCCGCATTTTACATGAAACCATCCCACCAATATCCCACTTCCGGGTTTTGAAAGGGCGTGGAAGAGTCGATCCAGTTCCTAGCAGCAGCAAAGTTACGATGAACGAATTTATGATACTAATCCTTGTTACGGCAAGACAAGAAATTAAGTGCGGATGCGGAGTGCGGTAGTTGAAAGTACTTTGGGCGGCTCGTTGGGAAATACTCAAGGAGTCTTTGTGGGCCTTTTTTACTCAGGTACCACGCCATGTGGTCTCTGATATAGCCACCAGTTCCCTTGAGGCCGATCCATATCGTCTCCTCTAACTATCGGAACATTTACCATAGCATAGGGTAGTCCTGGCTCAAAACCCTTGGAGGCTGCCAGACTTCATTAACTCCTAGTGGTGATCATTTAGTCCATCCATGCCCCGTAGAGCAATTCCGGGTATTCCGTACACTAGCTAATATTACTTATGCACTGGCCCAAGTTATACCAGTATCTATATATATGGTAGTATCTCTACATAAGACGTGGAATTACAGCTTGGATTGTCGTGGAAGACAGGATTCATCAGTAACGAAATCATGCTCTCGCTTCTTCTCCTTCAGGGACTCTTCTCTTCCCTCGTCCACTGCAGTGGGCAGCCATGGGTTGTGGGTCAGGCAGTGGGAACGACGAGTGGGCTGGCGAAAGGGCGGAAATCACCAACGTACCCCGAAGTTTCTGAATATCTAGGGATTCGATTCGGGCAAGATACATCGGCCCAAAACCGCTTCATGCCGCCAAAACCCTATTCTGGGACTGGAACAATGAATGCAACTTCTTTTGTGAGTATAACTACAATCTAACGGACGCAGAATTGGAATTCTAACATCGAGTAGCCAGCGTATGTAGCACATTCTGCATATACCGTACTTTGATCAAGCTCAGTGTGATTTATCCAGAGCTTGTCCCCAAGTCGCGCCTCCAGGACCGCCGGGCGCCTTCCCAATACCAGCAGTAACAAGCGAAGATTGCCTTTTTATCAACGTTTGGTCGAAACCCCAGTCCGGGGAAACAAGAAAAGCAGTCGTACTCTACATTTTTGGCGGAGCCTTTATCGGGGGTGATGCTTCCGCTTCGATTTCCAACGGCGCTGGCCTAGCGAACAACGAGGACGTCATCGTGGTCGCTCCGAATTACCGTGTCAATGTTTTCGGATTCCCGAGTGCCCCTGGACTCACCCAGAAAAATCCCGGGCTCTTAGACCAGCGACTCGCCGTGGAATGGACGAAGAAGAACATCGCCGCGTTCGGTGGAGATCCAGACCGCATTACTATCTACGGCGGATCTGCCGGTGGCTCTTCGGTCGATTATTATGCGTACGCATGGACGAAAGACCCGATTGTAAACGGACTGATCGCATCATCTGGCACTGCGATGATGACCGGGCCATTCTCGCTGACGCGCCCAGGAGACTCGAATGACGGATGGTACAAGCTGAGCGCCAGTCTTGGATGTGGAGGTGCAGAAGCCGGAGAGCGCACCATCGCGTGCGCCCAAACGAAGTCCATGAAAGAAATCCAAGCTGCAATTCCTATTCCCAGTGGAACCGGAGTCAGCATGATCACAGGCATGTTTGGTCCCATGGTCGACAATCAGACCATCTTTTCCGATTACTATGAACGAGCGAAGGCCGGAAATTTCATTCAACGGGTATCGCATGATTCCATAGATCTTGATTTATAGTCCTCGACTGACGGTAGCAGCCCATGCTTGTTGGCAGCAACCACAACGAGTCCCTTCTTTTCACGACGCTTGGCAACATCACGGATCCAAAGGCTGCCACCTCTTTGGAAAATGGATTCAACTGCGGCGCGGCGGAGGCGGCAAAGGCAAGATCGCTTCTCGACGTTCCAGTATGGAGATACCATTTTGCAAATAACCCGCCGAACTCAACTTTGGGTGCGCTCCACGGTATGGATGTTATGTATGTTTTCGGAGATGGTGTAGAAGGCGTATCCAAGTTGCTTCAGTCCTCCTGGGCGACGTTCGTGAGAGATCCGAAGAAGGGGCTGTCTAAGATTGGTTGGCCGAAATATGATCCGAAAGGTATATCCGTCTTGTCTTTTCGAATGCGCATGTGGGATTCAACGCTGACTCTGAAAGGGAACACTCTGGTACGGCTTGCCTACAACAGCGTTCCAGTTGCGGACTTCGTTCCAGCCACAATGTATGATGGAACCTGTCCTACCAGTCAGATCTAGACGTCAATTTGAGACACCCTTTCGGTCCCGTTGCTTCTCGTTTTAAAATTGTGCTGAGAACAAATCCGTGAAGAAATGGGCTCCGCTGATATTTTTTTTGCGTTGAGCAATATATGTATATTCGTTCCCAAAATATATTTTACGACGTGGTACGAGCACTCTACGTAGAAGAGAGAGAGAGAGAGAGAGAGATTCATACGCCCGTCAGGCCTCTCGGCGAGGCCCATGTGGGGAACTACCTAAGCTGACTAATTACATACATTGGTGCCTTGTGGCCTTGTGCCCCCATTTTCTATCTTCGGTCTTCTAACTAGCTTCTATATCTGCGGCTAACATAGGGAAATATTATAACTGTGTTAAGGGAATAAGATGGTCAGTTTGCTGAATGCCTCTGTTCTTCTAGGTTCTGATCTAGAGTGACGCTGCTCTTACTCGGGCACAGCGTCGGATCGGAGGGTTGGG